TTATATTTAATTATGCTATCGTATAGTTAAAAATGGAAAAAATAATTTATAGTTAATAAATCACATATTATCGATAATATTGCAATTAATAAGTCATGTTTATTTAATTAAACACAAATACTATAGTCTTTAGATTATATACTTATAATATACTAAAGTTTGCTACCTTAACATACACCATACCATACCTGATCATTGATGGGGAGGGCATTGAAGGTTGAAATATATATTAGACACTTATATAACACGTTTAATAAATATTAATGTAATTATGAGATGGTGTCCCTGAAACAGTGTGTGAGACCTATGGTTTGAAGTAAAGCCAAACCCTGTATGAGTCTTGAGCTCAATAATAAAAAAGTGGATCTCATATACAAAGTGGTTAAGTGTTAGTCAAGTAGTGGCCATCCCTGACAAACATTTCTTTATACATATAATACATACCTTTACACGACTCACTATTTGTGAGGGAATTCCAATAATTTTCAAATAATTAAATAATTTTCAATTTTTTTTATATAAATCATTTTTGTGCCAAAATACAAGAGATATGATTTTGCTAATCAAGTAATTGTTTTGTTGAGATCTTTATTATATGTTATTATTTAATTAATAAATAATGGCTTTTCAAATAATATGAAGTCATAAATTTATATCAGGAAAAGTGTGTTGATTAATACTACATACAGTATATAATTTTTATTTATTAATACTGAATATACGGTATATACACATATACGCAAAATTGCAATATATATGAAATAAAAACAACATTTAAATTCATTGTTCACTTGTGTTTAAAGTTTTAACACAACATATTGTTTTCCGCGTTATTTAAATATTGTATGAAAAATATTTGTATATTAAATAAATATAAGAAATAATATAATAGCCTTTATTATACAGTATATAAAAATGTATTATAATGTAATGTAATATAAAATATGCTACTAAATAATGTCAATGAATAGTATGACTGAACAGACAACTAGTGGTGTGTTGTCATTGGCGTAAAGCATGAGTGGGACAAAGGGATGGTTAGATCGGTTACATTGCAAGTAAATGCTGTGTATATTTAGCCGTAAATAAAGTTTCATTTTTCATAAAATAGATGTTTGTCTGCTTGACTGCAAACTCACAAAAAACTTAATAAACGAGTATTAGTTCAATAACTTAAATCGATGTAAGATTTTTTCAAAGAGAAATACTAAAATAAAATAAAAATTACTCTCAAAAACACAAAGTGCTTAATACTAAACACTAAGACTAACGAAAAGTTATTGCTTTTTATCGTTTTCTTTATTTTTAACTCTCATTTCAATAAAACTATCAAAACTCTATCTGAGAATAAATTTTTGCTCTTTGGTTGCGATAAAAGATATTTTTTGTGAAATAGTTGTATATTTTATTTATAAATCATATAAATTTCATTTTTTTTAAAATAAGGTTTTTTTACAATTAAATCACTGCATTATATAAGTGATAAATAGGAATAAAAAATGAGACAAAAGTCGAGTAGTTTTGTGGAAATTTCCAGAAAAACAGTTTTGAATTATTTAATTTGATTGTCAGTAAATCAATCATTGGTTGTGTTGTCATTAAACGACATATACTGTTAACATTGTCTTCATTTGGTGTCTGTATTGGCTCGACTTAATCCTTAGTACGGCTCAACCGAAAAAAGCAATAACAATATGAAAGGGAGAGAAAGGGAGAGACAGTGTGTGAGAGAGCAGTAGATGACAAATATGAGGCATAAAAGCTCATGTATTGGCCGTTCAAATGGTTTACTCATTCAATGAAATAAAGATAATGAAATAAATGGTGAGTTGAGTCCCAATGATGTTGAGTTCAGTCACACACATGCAAAGTGTTGCAGCACTGGTGCCCACGATATGTGTTATACAGTATTATAATATGTATGCATTGGTTGACAATTTTAACAGAGTTGTACTGCTTTTACTTACCACTCATGAGACTCAATATCACTCTATGAGAGTCTCCCATCATTATGGATGGGAAAACATTGACAACTGTAGAGAGAGAGAGAGCTACTACTTTAACTATATGTATCGTCAGGACAATAGACAGCGTGATTCACATGTTGCAGGGCATAGACATAGGGATGAGGGATCAGGGATGCAGAGTGAGAAAGTAGATGACTGAATGAATGAGTGAGAAACTCATAATTCAGCCTCACTTACAGTATATATGATGTTATATCGAGGCGACACGCGCTCAGAGGGAGAGGGAGGCCGAGAGGAGCAGATGCCATACCAAACAACAAACACAGACATAAAGAGACAGATATGAAACAAAGCAAACCAAACGAGTGACTCAAACTTTAAATGCATGACTAATAGAAATAAGTTGGCGTCAAATGTATATAAAAAATAATAAAAAGTTTTTAAAAAGTTTTCAATAATTTAAAATAAAGAGTTTAAGTATAGAAATATATCAATAGATAAATATATTGAGTTATAAGTGATGGATAGCAAGTAAAGGTGATTACAACCAAACAAATTTATGGACAATAAATGAAAGCATTGGTAGATATTTTGAGGTGAATTTGTCGATAAGGATCGTAGGGATCGTAATGAGTGCACCACTGAATGCCAATGTGTTTGGTTGGGGTCTACGCGTGACACCGCTCTGACAGCACTGGTATCATATGAGTGGTGCTCATTGAGAGTCATGTAGAGGAGGAGGCATAAAGAGGAGTTGAGAGGCGACTCCTTAGTTCACAAACAACAATGTGTCCGTCTGGCAGTTGCACTGCTATGGCGTGAAAATAGTTAGACCGGTTGGGACACACATCACAATCAAGAGGTTCCCAATGGAGGCCACAAACACAGGGCTCACACACTGAAAGAGGAGAGTCGAGAATGAGGGGAGAGAGAGCTGACTGAAGAAAGAGAGCGACTTTCAGGGGAAAGAGATTTTGTGCTGTTTATGAGCGATATGTATACATATATATATATATATATATATATATACTGTATATATATATAAATATATGTATATAAGTTTGGTGTGTGGCAGTGGTAGTTCAAAGCAAACCAACAAAATGCTTGAGTAGCTCTACCACTCTTAAGAACATTCATAAGCTATACAACGCTTTGTTGAGGGGATCCTCTTTGGTAAGGGAGGTAAGGGATGGGCTCCTCAAACGCACATTAAAAGAAATACATTGTAGTTGGCATTGCACTGGCATTGCATTGCTGATCACATAAAGACACGACAAGACCCATAGCGATCCCAAACTAAAGGTATGGAATCATAAGGAATGCAATGTTAGGTTAGGAAAGACTTCTAAGACTACTTCAACAAATAGACTGACTGGGGGTAAGACCTACTCTCATATGAATCCTATGAGATTTTGTGCAAATTTCAAGTTTTGTCCCAACAATGTATTCAATGATCGGAAGTTACGCTTTCCTGTGCTAAACATCACAATTGCAAACAAATACAAAACACATTTCATATATTACTTATACATTGGATCTAAATTTTCACTCAAATCTAAACAGGAATTCATTTAGTAATTCAATACAAATCACATAACAATTGCATTAAAATACATTTAAATAGCATATTAACTGATTTGTGGAGTCAATCAAATAATTTTGGTTAATATACCATCAAAAAAGTCAATTGGCCACACATTTAACCATACATTTTGTCATAATAGTGACATATACCCAGTGACATGAAATCATATCATATATACAATTGTTATCATAACTTGTTATCACAAGTAAGTGAGAAATTTCGCCGACAAATATGAAAATTAGGTAAAACTTTTAGGAAAAATTCATTCATAAATGAGTACAATTGAAAAGTCGATTAGCTTTAGGTCTCAAACTTGGATACAATGAATAACAAATATATTGTACACCAGTTTTACAACTTATCGATAAAGCAACTCATATACGATACCAGTATATAATGTATTATACTTTAGTCCACTCCCACGGAGTTTCAAAAGTCAATGGTTCACAAACTCGTGCAAATTAGACAAATTCTAAATGGAACAGGCTCATTTGATACCTGGCCACTTTTAGGTAAGTGCTAAATACCACATCACACATTCATTATTTAATTCATTGTCAATTATGCTATCAATTACCACAAATATAACACAATAAGAGTATACATAACTTATTTACAGTATATTTACTGTATATACAGGTACACTATATCTAACATGTATATACAGTATATAACTTATACACAAAAGTTATGCAAACTTTTGTTTAAGCGTTATGCTAATTAAATAAACTTGATAAATTATCTAAGGTGACAATATTACCTATCATTAACATGATACCAATAAAATCATTAACAACAAATAGGCATGGCTTATAAGCATGGTTCATTGTCATTCATATACATTGTTTAACTAATCAATACAAGTGTAATATTACTAAATAAATATATTTGTTTTTATCATAGATTCATGTCATTTATGTGTATATATTTATATATAACATAATAATAATATAATAAATCGTTGCAATCAATGGCCAACGTATGAGACATAAGATTCAGTCATATGTCTGGAAAGCAGTGAATCAGTAGTCAGATTGAAGTTTCAAAAGTATTTTTCTTTTCTTTTTTTTTTGTAAACAATTTGCTTACAGAAAGGTCTTGTTGTTTGGCTCTAAACATAGCACTTGTGGGTCTAAACTGATGGTAAACATATGAGAGGAGACTCATAGGACCCTTAAATAGTAGTGTATTTGAAAGCAATGGTCACTATTAGCCACAACATTAGCGATTGGTATGCATTGAAAGCACGTATTCATAGATTCATAGCATTGATAGCTCACACATAGCATTCATCACACATGAGTTGTGTGTCTTATTAGAGATTATTAGCAGCTTTTCATGAGTTTTGTCAAAATTGATGATTAATTTAAATGATTTGATGTCAATGTATATAAAATACTGACAAATGTGTAAAAATAATAGTTTTTCAAAACAGTATCAATGCTTACCTTCAGATGTATGGATTGTAGTGAGTCTTGAATGCGATTATTCCATAAAGTGTTCACTCAATCACTCATTGCTTTTCATATGAAATGCATTCACAATACAGTTGTGACTATAATATCGTATAATAATATAAGTTTGCTTTTAGAGAGTTTCAGTTAATATATATTTATATATAGAGAAAACACAAACACTGTGTCGACGACTACACTGTAGTCCGCACTGAATGTCATGTTATGAATGCTATGCAATGGTTTGCACTGTTGTCTCACTGTTGTCTGACGTCACTCATAGCATAACGACCAGTGCTTAGCATAGCATCGGCACTGAGACATCTGGTGTGAGAACATTGAGGTATCGCTTCTCCAGTCACTTATCGACTAGTTTTATGGCAATTAGTTAACATGTGTTTCAAGTGTTCAAAAGTTTTTATTCAAATCATTTGCTTTTCAAAACACACTTATATTATAAGTTATACGAGTTATGCGTTAAAGTAGTGCTGAAGCAGTGATGACAGTCATTGATATATTTGTCGATCGCTTACATTATTTACACATATATTATTAAACACACTTTATCTGACATTTTTTGTTTGATTAACTCTATTACTATATATTTGACTAATTTATGTCTCATCTCATTAATTAGTGTTTTGTTTTGAAATCAGTTAATAGTTTTGACGCTTTTATTAATTCATTACAAAAGTCGTTTTGAAATAAAAATATTTTGAAAAAACAAACAAATTTATTATAATATTAATACACTAAAACTTGTATAAGTTTTATACTGTTATTTAAATGGATGCGAAAAAACGGTTCATTAAATAACCTGATTATAGAAATTTTTTAGTGATGGTTATCAACATTTGAATACATCCAATCAAACTTATTAAAGCAATTATCTTATATGTATTATACTGTATTATATTATAAAAAGCAGGAATAGCCAAGTGATTGACTTTTGAATTTGATTTAAATATTCATATTAATGTTTTTTGAGATTCTGGGGGTCGAGGGTTGAAATATTCTACCCCTTTGGCAATGGGTGACAAAGCATAAAAAATGCACAAATTTATCATTTTCATTATATGTATAAATATACTGTATATAACTTAATATATATAGCCATAAATACATTTAATAAACAGCTTATTTAATTAAATGCATTTAACAAAATAAATGATTAATGCATTTAAATAGAGTATAAAAATGCTCGAAAAAGTTTTGTTATTTATTTTGTTTGAAAATACTTAAAGAGAGAGCCATTTATTTAGTTATGAGAAAATAAGAGACGCTTTTTTGATTTAATATTTATAGTATTATTATTAAAGTAAAAATGTATATAAAAGGCAAGTCTTCCGCCTTTCTTTAGCCCGAAAATAGTCAAACAATTTGATATATACTTTATTTATTGTATATTAAGCCATAACTGGTTCGCAATGGATGTAATTATTTCATAAGATATACCAATGTTTCATCGCATGCACACAACATCTAAATATATACAGTAATATAAATTTAGTTTATATATAAATATATTTAAAGCTAAGCTATAGTTTAACTCAATCAGTAATGCATATCATATCATAAGATTCATATATATATTGGAGTTTTTGACATTGCATTACATTCCCTGAGTTGTAGCGAAAAAACAACAAAAATGAGTATAAAAATAATCTGAAAAATCATTGAAACGATTCATATAATGTGAGTATTTTTTGTCTGTATTAATATATTTGCAAATATTTAGTATTTTGAATTGATTAATATAATTGAAATGATATAATGATATATCAAATATACACTTAAGAGAGCCTTCGACGCAATGACTTCATCGCCAACGACTCCCCATTGACTCCAATCACTACATTGACTGCCATTGATGTCAAAATGAAAATCATTTCTTAGAGCTAATTATGAAACTTAACTTTAATGTTATATATATTGATATATTGTATTTATATATTGTTTTATATTGTCTATAAGTAGTGTGTATTTAGTTGTAATAATTTCTTTGTAGAAAAAATTTAGTTATCAAAAAACAATATATAAATTAGTGATAAGAGAGTTAATATACTTTAGAGTATATTAAAAGAAAATGTTTACATATAAATACATTACTCTAATATAAAGACATATTAAAAATGTGATAAATGAGTGCCAATTGAAAACATATTCACGTAATCAAAATACAAGTTTTCTAATATGTATGTTATGTACTGTATATGTGTTTAACATTAGCAATAATTGTTGCTAACTTTTCTCATTGAACTCATTTTGTAAAAAATACATATATTTTTGTTGTTGTTTAGAGCAATGATTTAATAGAAATTTGGAGCCCATTATAAACACAAAGCCTATTATTATTATACATTATATACAGTGTGTTTAGTTGACTTAAATGACTATAAAAGCGACTAATTTTTTGTTTTTATTGTTATCATGTCTTTCACAACAAATATATAAAAATATGTTATTTTATGCACAAAACATCTGCCAAATAAATGAATTCATGAATTATTGAAAGTTTTTTTTGTATGCTTTCAGTTGCGATACACTAAATATATAAGCGTTTCACAAGAATTGTCTCATCTTTTTATTTATTTTTTTTGTCAACAAAAATAAATTTATTTTTATGCATATTTTTTTGCATATTATTAATGCTAATATTATTACATTATGTCAACCGATTTATATATTATAGTTAGTTCTATGATATAGTATAAACTTTCTTAAACATCATATTGCATGATAATATGAAAATTATTAAATTACGACTACAGTAGTTAATAAAATTAATTTTTTATATTTATTTGAAATAACTAAGCATTTAATTAATTTGAGATATTTGTTGATTAATAAGTGAAAATTGATAATAATATGAATTTCTAGTAAAACAAGGCTATATTGCTTTATATAGAATATAAAATGAGAGTAAAGACACAATTAGTGCTAAATATCTAATTATAGACAAATAAAGTGAATTATAGAAAATTTTTCATTAAGTTTAATGTATTTCCTTTTATATGCAAACTTACATAATAAGTATGAAAATTTTGATTATTAAGACATTTAAAAAAGATATTTATATCGTTTATTTGGTGTTTTATTTATTGTCAAAATAGAAAAATAATTAATAAATTATAGTTGTATTCAAATATAAATTAAGTGCTGTTTTCAGATCTAATGATAAGACAATATTTTTTGTGTTAACTTTCTTTATTAATATACTGTAAAAGAGTTACTTAGTTTACATTATTGACATTATATTTATATAAATAAATATACAGTATGTATATATATATATATAGTTATATACAGTATATCATAAGGGAAAAACATAATGAATATTTTATTAATATTGTTAAAAATAATAATAAGTTGATTTACAACTAAACTGCACTGTTTGTGGTATTTTTATCGCAGCATTTCTTTTACTTTTAACCCAAAATATAACACAATTGTAAACCTCAACTAAATTTAGTTTGTTTTTTAAACAAATGCATAAATTATAAATAACTAAATTTAAAATAAATACTCTTTAAGAGTACAAAATTATTTAAATAAATAAATTTATACAATTAAAAAGCCAATTACCCTGGGTTACTGTATTATAGTTAACCTTGTTTGTTGTGTTATTGCATGAGATAATAATAGTGGTTTACTTTAATTATAATTAATTACATTATTAATAATGTTATTATTCAATACATATACTGTACATAAAATTAAAGCATATAATATGATATTAATTTTGAGATCTCATTTAAAAAAATACATTTACCGGTAATATATTAAAATAAATATATAAATGAAGTATAGTGTGTACACTTGTAGTTATAATCAACATTCAAATAACTCATAAATTAACAATTATTTAATTAATAATTAAGAAATTAATATTTTAAGCAACTATTAAGTAAATGTTTTGCAGAGTAAAAGACATTTATACAAAACTTAATGATATGACGGGAGAGTCACTCAAACCGCTACCGGTTTTTTCAATCATTTTTTAAGCTATCATTAAAAAAGTTGTGTTTTGATAAATAAAATTAAAATTAAAATTTTTTCAAATAAAATGTTATGAATGTTTGAATTATTTATATTATAAAATACATGTATTTTGCAAATAACTTGAGTTCAATTCACAGGTTGTGTGATAAATGATTGCATATCAATAAATATTGACATTTGCCCTCAAAAAACTATTTTAAAGTGTTTTAAACAATACTAAGAATATTTATATAATAAAATTTTTTTGATACAAATTAACTGGTATTATAAATCATAGACTGCCTATAAATGCGGAAAAATACTACTAATGTATAAATATTTTGATAAATCTCTAATATTCTAATTAAAATAGAGATGATTTACATGAAATTACATTTAAGATTTATATCATTACAATTAATAATAATTTTTTTAAATATTTCAAACAAATAATTAAAACAAATAAATAAAGTTTAGTGTCAAGTGAATTGTACCGCATATGTAATGGCAATAAATGGCTTATAATGTGATTGAGTGTAACCCGGATTCATGATATCCAATAAATATGCAATTGTTTATCATTTAGATAACTGATTCAAATTTTTAGATTACAATTCATTTAACAAATATATTGATTTCAAGTCAAACATAACTGGATTTGTGGACTAAACTTGAAATTGTTTTGACTTTAGTCATTCAGATGTCACTATCGATTGAAACACAACACAAGGCATCCATAAAATGCTTTATTTTTAGCAAATCATACGTTTTAATCAAATATTTATTATAACAGTACATGTATTTACTGTATAAACTTTTTTATTACTCTTTTTACTGTATAATATTAAATATATTTTATGATACAACTTATATAAGTATATTTAAATAAAAATATATAACTTAAATACAGTATATACTGTATAGTACTGTATATAATATATCTACAAATTACTATTATTCTAATTAATTAATCCAATAATATAATAATTAGAGTTGAATATAAAAAATAATAAAACTGCTAAAATAGTTTAATAATTAAATTGTAAGCAATAATTATGTTGATTATTATGTCAAATCAAATATTTATTAGTAAATAGTTTTGTTGTCACATTAAAAATGCTTTAAATGAAAACAAC